GGGGAAAAGAGACACGCTTTTCCCTGGTGCGCTAACCCGTTTGACAAGTCATCGGGAAAATAATGCACGCTGCCCAAATCTCTGGTTTTAACACTGCCGCTTCACTTTTACTCTCACCTAATACTGACTGCAGTTCCAAAGCTCTCACAGTCAGTTCAGATCTCACATCGAGGTGCCGCACGGTGAATGGGGAAGGGATACACACAATCGTAGGACATGCACAGTGAATGAACACATGGAGCTGGACTATCGTTCACTCACCCTTATCCTTCTCATAGCAGCAACGATCTCCACCCTGCTGTTCGGCCTGGGTACATCCAGGGTCCCGATGTACTGTGAACGGGAAATAAAACAAAAAGCGGAGAGGGGTCTTTGTAAAGATCAGGGAACTCCCGCGACACAGTCACAAACTCTCAAAGCTGCTGACGAGACTGAAGTCCTGAGAAAGTTACAAACCTTCGCCTCGAAACTGATGCCGTGCTGAAAAGCTTCTTCATTGTGCAAAGGAATACGCAAATCATGTCCATCGTCCACTAAGTTGTATTTGGTTTTGCTAGGCATGTTGGTTTAAACAATTGTAACCAGAAAACAACTAGGGCAAATAAAAAAAAAGCAAAAACGAGAGGAAAAGAAAACCCTCGGCTAGCCTGCAGCAGGGGAATTTTAATTTAAAAACACTGGCACAACTTGATATATATGTGTGTGTATAAATATATATAGAATCTATATGACAGACAAACTAACTGGGGAAACTTTAGGGGCGGTTACAACCAGCCCCCAGTGCCACACCATGTACCTAAAGCCTACGTTTTGGATTGTGGCGGATCCTCTTCACATGCAGTAGATGGTGAGCCTTGCTTTAGACTGAGAGCCCAAACGATGGTGCAGCAGCAGACTCGTTCAGCGAGCGGCTGCCTTGCACTGGCCTTGGCCGGCAGCTAGCGCTCAGCCGCCGGGATAGCTACCGCTGTTGTTGCTGCTGCTGCTGCCGGTGCCTGGGCTCCTGCTACCGCAGCTCCTCCGGATCCCTTCCTCTCCCACAGCAGCGCCATATCAACACTTCCCAAGCAGCCGGCACATTCTCACACACACACACACACACACAAAAAAAAAAGGACCCGATTTCCTCCCATTGGCCAGCGCCCGGGAATTCCGACCGATTTTTATTGGCGTAAAGTTACATCACTGCGCTCCGTGTGGTTGGATAACTCAACAAGCTTCCTGGTCCCCCACTGCACCACACCTACCCGCAAGCCCAGGGAAGGGAGAGCAGAGCGGCACTGGGAGAGGAATCTGGATGTGCCCAACAATGAAACTCGTCTCTGCCAGGGTAAGGAATGTACACTCGCCCTCTTGCGGCTGGAAACTAGAGGCTTTGTCCAAGAGGGACTCTCTATGTGTATGTGTTATTATGTATATGTGTGTCTGTATGTGTGTGTGTGCCTGTGCGTGTCTCCATGTGTGCATGTGCCCGTGTGTGTGTCCCTATATGTGTGTGTGTGTATGTGTACCTGTGCGTGTGCCCGTGTGTGTGTATGTGTGCGTGTGTCCGTGTGTATGTATGTGTGTCCGTGTGTATGTATGTGTGTCCGTGTGTGTATGTGTGCGTGTGCCTGTGTGTGTGTATGTGTGCGTGTGCCTGTGTGTGTATGTGTGCCCGTGCCCGTGTGTGTGCCCGTGTGTGTGTATGTGTGCGTGTGTGTGTGCCCGTGTGTGTGTATGTGTGCATGTGTGTGTGCCCGTGTGTGTGTATGTGTGTGTGTGTATGTGTGCGTGTGCCTGTGTGCGTGTGTATGTATGTGTGCGTGTGCCTGTGTGTGTGTCTGTGTGTGTGCGTGTGCATGTACCCATGTGTGTGCG